GGCCGCACCCCGCAGGCTGTCCTGGCCTCCAGCCTGTGGACGGCAGCCGGCGCGACTTCTCCGCCCCCAGACACACCAGGTCTCCTGTGTACACAGTCCCCTGCTGGGCTGTTCCTCCGCAGGCCCTGATGACGTGCTCGCCCCCGAGACCGGGCCCGTGTGTGGCCAGCACCTTTCTGCCACGACACCCTGAGGGCGCCATGGGCCGCTGCTGCTCCCGGCCAAGACAGACAGCAATGGCCGTTGTCACAAATGGGATCCCCGGGAGCCGGCCGGCCGGGCCGCGTGCTGCCCCTCCCACCCTCCGTGAACGTGCTGTCGCTGCTCCCGTTGGCGATCCCCGTACACGCCTCCCCCTTCACCGCACACGGTGCACCGCAGCCTGTATCCGCCCCCGCACGCAACGCCGAGGCCACGCTCGCCCGACCACACACCCTTCTCCGCTGCCCTCTGCAGCCGAGGGCGTCTGCGGAGGAGCGAACCCAGCCTGGCGCGCAGCGGCCGCCCGTGCCTGCGGTGTGAACCCTGCCACCACGGCCGGTGCTGGGCGCCCCCGTGGGTGGGCGGGGGGCTGGGCGGGGGTCGGGCCCCGCTGCCCGTCGCAGACCGGGTGTGAGGGGCGTCCCAGGCAGGGGAAGTGTCGCGCGTAGTAACACTGTCAGGGAGCGGGGCGTCCTGAGTGTTTCTTACGTTTCAAAATAGAATGTGTTTAGTTGGGAGTTTACATAGTTTAAATTTAACAACGGTTGTGTTAGGCAACGGGCTTGTCAAAACTCCCGGAACTTGAATGAACTGCTTTTGCCGCTGCCTTTGAGACGACGCGGGCGGGGTGAGCGGGCAGGGTGAGCAGGGGGTGGACAGAGGGCACAGAGGTGCGGCAAAACGTGAGATGTCGCGCGGAGCCCCCTGCAACACCGTTGAGGGAAAAGGTCCCGGCAAATCACAAGGGGAAGGTTCTGAAACTTTCTCTGCAGCGAGTGACTCTGTCTCTGCTGAGAAGAGCCCACGGCGACTGCCCAGAGGCCCCCGGGACGGACGTGCCGGGTCCCTGCGAGGCTGCCAGGGGCCGGGCAGAGAGCCACCCTGGTTCGCGATGGTCGCCTTTGCCCCCAGAGCGCCCCGATGCCACCGCATGTCAGAAAACGCGCTCTGAGCCTCGTCTCCCCGGTCATCCCAGTCCCGGGCAGAAGGCCGTCAGGGCGTGCGGAGTGGGTTTGGCTGCTGACCGGGGGCTGGGGGCGGGGACAGGGACCCACTGCTGTCCTCTGCTCTGACACGAGCCACCGGCGCCAGCACGCCTGCAGCCCTGAGACCCGCGTGCCGCTCGAGGTCGGGGCTGTCTCCCCACCTGCCCGCCTCCCATCCTGCCCTGCGTGTGCCCTCCTCTCCCCTCCCCTGTGTCCTTGCTGGTGGTCCCCCACACCCGGTACCTTACCGGGTCTCTGGACCTCTCACCTAGGCTGAGGAGGGGATTAAAGGAGAAAGTCCCCAGCACCCCTGAGCTTCCCGGGGCAGGACGGCGGCACCGGTGACCAGCAGCGGGCTCTAGGGGGAGCACATTCTCCGTTGGGTGCTGGAGTCCGACCTCTGCCCTTCAGCCAGCACAGGCCTCTGCGGGCCAGGGCTCCGGGGACACCTGCCGCCCGTCTCATCACCTCCTCAGACGCTCAGCTAATAAATACCCCCACGGACTGCGTCCTGGCCTCTCTCCCTCGAGCTGGGGCATGTTCATGGGGCCCTGCGTGCGCCGGGATCTCATGTGAACTGTCTCTTTTAGTCCCCACCACACGGGGACATAGGGCTTGGTGTCCAACATGTGGGGGCGTGAGGGCCAGGGTGTGAGTGACCAGCCCGAGGGCCCTGCCTGCATGAGGGGGGACAGAGCCAAATCAGGCCCCGAGCCCTGTCACGCCCCTGAGGCCCCAAGTGGCCCCTCCGATTTCCTGCTGTTGGATGTGTGACCTGAGTTCAGGCCCCCACTTTCATCCCTCCCAGACCCGCTGCACCCACTGCCTAGGGCTTCCCAAGCCCCGAGTCGGCCACCAGGATGACCAGGCACCGCCACGGGGATCAGGGAGCTGCCTGTCCTCCCAGGTCCCCTCCTCAGCCTGCTGTGACCCTGGGGTCCACTACGGGTAGCACCTGGCCACGCAGGGGAGGTGACCCCCTCCAGCCCCGGGCACCCAGCAGGCTGGCACCCGGCAGGTGGGCACCCGGAGGGAGGCCCGGCCCTGCACAGCAGCTCTGGCTCACGCCGCCGGTGTCACATTGGCGCCAGGTGAGGCGCTCGCGGAGGAGAGGATGGGTCGTGTCCGGGGGTTGTGTCACATTATTAGTAACACAGGGAGCCCCGGGGGGGGGGGGGGTGCACTGGGCAAAGGGAAGCCTGTGTAGTTGAAAGAGAGAAAGGGGCAGAGTGCAGGGTCTGGCCTCTGGGGGGAGGCCGTGGGGGCGGATTCCGGCAGCTTCCCCTTCGGTTTGGAGTGACCTCCTCCAACGTGCTCCCGGGCCGGGTTTGACTGGGGGACGGGCCACGGAGGGGTCCAACTCTGGCCCCACATTTGTCCCGCCTCCGGGGGAGGGTCAGGATGGAAACGAGTTCGACGGAGCACAGGGCGGCGCCTGCCCACTGTCCCACTCAGGGCGGGGGGTCCGGGTCCAGGCTGAGGTGCTCGGTTCCCCCTGGGAAGCCACGGGCCTAGTGGGCCTCTGAGCCGGAAGCAGAGCCCAGACCGGTGCCCAGCCCCGCCCGTGCCCCCTCCCCCACCACTGCAGCCTCAGAGGGTCCTGAGCCCGGGCCGTGAGGCCTCAGAGCCAGGCCCCGGGGGGGGGGGGGGGGGGCAGCAGCTCCGCCTCAGCATGCAGCTGCAATGCCGGTCAGGTCAGGACAGATGGGGGGGTGGGGGCATGACAGCACCTGCCTCCCCGTTCCACCGATGCCGTGAACGTGCGTCCGGCGCCATCCGGTGCAAAGCCCTGGGCAGGCACCTCGTCACTCCTGGGCATCTTCCCCGGGGCCCGTGCACACCGATGTCCCCGGGAAGCCACGCGGTGGCCCGTTCCTTCTAAGTGCCACACGGGCACCCATCCAGATGCCCTGTGCCCCACAGTACGTCGCCAGGAAGGGGGCCCAGCTGGGCAGCAACTAGCTTGGCATTTCACACGGGCAAAGCAAGATGGGAGAAGGCTCCCGTCTGTCAGCCTCTGCGCGTGGACCCAGCAGGAGCCGGCCCCACACCGAGCTTGGCCCTGTCCCCGTTCCCCAAACACCCGGTCCTTCCCGGACCCTGCGGCCCCCCCTCCCACTGCTGCACCTCTGTGCCCACACAGGTGAGGAGGCCGGAGGGGCCTGGGCACCCCAGCTTCGGGAGGACTCGGGGGTCGCAACCCACCAACAGCCACCCCAGTCCGACGCCCAGGAGATCCAGGAATGTGGGTTCGGACAGCTGCAGCCCCGCGTCTACAGCAGGAGGGGAAGCCACTCCGGCCCTGAGGGACTTGCCCTGCCCCGGGCCACGTGTCCTCGCCGGTCCTCCCCGCACGGTCTCCTGGGTGCCGCTGAGGGTCGGCGGCCGATGGCACGTTCGTCCCACGGGGGAGCATCGTGTCGGCCGAGAGGGTCTGCGGCGCACACAGGGGCCACCACAGCCGCCTCCCAGAGCTTCCCATGGGCACTGCCACGCCATGAGGCAGAGGGCGGGGACACAGTCCTGTTACAGGCGACGAGAGGACGGGATTAAGCACCCGGCCACCTCGCCTGGACAGGTGGTAGCACCCCGGGGTCCCAGACGGGACACTGAGTCCCCGAGAGCTGAGCGGTTTGCTCCGGCTCCCGTGCCCCGTGTTGGCACCAGGCCCGAGGCCTCCAGGCAAGAGCATTAGTGACCACACGGCCTGCAGTGTCCCCTGGGTGCCTGCCACCCACAGCTAACAGGCCACCTTGACCACGGAGTCACCCCAGTGCTTCGGTTCCGGAAAGACTGGCCCAGGCTCCGGCCAACGGGGCTTGTCCCCTCCAGCCTGCGGGCACTTGGGACTCTGGGGACTCGGGTCATCGCAGGAGGTGCCAGAGACACAGGCCGCGGGCGGACGTATGGATCTGCGGTAAACCACAGCCCTGGCGTCCCCGGGGCACGGGGCAGACACGGGAGCGGAAACAGGAGCCCAGACGCTCCGATATCCTCCTTGTTCAAGGGCCCGCAGGGCCGCGGAGCCGACTCCAAGGCAGCTGCACACACAGACCTCTGCCTGTGGGGGTCCTTCCGCGGGGGACCAGGGCCGCGGCCCCCAGGGAGTTACAGGTGTGCACCTCCCGCGGGCACTGTGCCTGGCCGGGCAGCCAGGCCCGCGGGGAGAGGGTGTTCCCGCTGAGCAGGGTCCTACCTGCGCCCACGGCACCTTCACCCGCTTCTCCCGGCTCTGGGTTGACCAAGTGCGGGGATTCTCTGTCCAGCCAGCTCCCCGCAGTCTCTGCCCGGCGGCCACACGTAGCTGGAATTCCCCTCCCCCCTCCACCCCCACCCCGTGCCTCCGGGCTGAACGGTTCACACCTGTCCCGGCCATTCCCTGCTGCACGGCTCCTAAGGAGCGGCCTTCACAAATGCCGTCCAGTGTTAACGCCCTCCAGCTAACGAGCAAGAACCGACCCATTCATGCTCCGGGCAAATTCTCAGCCTCGGACTGGACGCCAAACATGGGGCTTTAAAAACTGAAACCAAGCCCCCAGCCACCCCCCCCCCCCCCCCCCCCCCCCCCCCCAAGCCTCCCAGGACCAGATTCCAGGGAGGCAGTGAGTGGGGCACCTGCTGCGCCGGAGGCGTGGCTTCCTGGGGCCCCGCCCACACGCGCACTGTTTTTTGAGCTCCAGTTTCGTCTGCCCTTCTCCTGAACTGCCCTGCCACCTGGTTTCAGAAGACACGCTAATAGCTTGCAATAATTAGCATCTCATGCTTTTAAGTTGTTTTTTAAAACTAGAATAGCTTTACTTATTCACACGTCAACTCATTCAGTTCTCCTGTGTGCGTGTCGCCTGCGGCCCAGCGCTGGTCCGACGCTCGTGGTCCGAAGGGGTCGCGTTCCAGGCCCCCCTGTTATCCTGGGGCTCGGCCAACGCGGGGGGCCACGATTCCGCTTGGCGCCGGGAGACTAGTCAGCAGTGGTCTGCGTGAACAGGGTGACGGGGCGGAGGTGGAGTGGAGAAGGCACTTCACGAGCGCCCATCTTTTGGCCAAAGCCACCCTGCCCTCTCGGAGGATCACAGAGGTTATCAAGGGTCGCGCTACTGGGTGGGGCGTGTCGGTAGTCAGAGCAGCTCAGACTCCCGGGACGCGCCCTCGCGTGGCGAGGCTGGGGGGCGGGGGCTGGACACCGCACCCGGTGTGTCTCTAACCAATCGCGTCACTCTGACGGTTGCGGCAGGTGCTTCCAGGCTGGAGTTGGGACGAAAGCAGTAAGACGGCTCCGGCCCATTTCCTAAGTAAACCACAGTGTGTAGGTGTGGGCTGTGTAAGCGTTGGCGTTCTAACACAATCGGGAAGAGTAAACACTCAGAAAATGACTCGGCCTCCACTCCCCAGAAACCCAATGAATTCTTCCCTCAGAACCGCGAGTCCTCGGCAGCCCCGCCCAGGCGCTCTCCTGCTGCTGCTGCTGCTTCTATGCTAAGCCCTTCCTTGTTTCACTGAAACCAGCTTTAATAAACGTACTTCCAAAATAAAAAGAAAAAAAGTCCCAGCTGGTGTGGCTCAGTGGATTGAGTGCCGGCCTATGAACTGAAAGGTCTCTGGTTCGATTCCCAATCGGGGCACAAGCCTGGGTTGGGGGTGTGCAAGAGACAACCACACATGGACGTTTCTCTCCCTCTCTTTCTCTGTCCCTCCCCCCTCTCCAAAAATAAATAAGTAAAATCTTTTTTAAAAATTGAGTCCTGTGAAACAAAGATCTCCAAATACCTAAAACTTATCAATTACTTGAAGATTCACCACAATATAAGACGTTCCCTCCCCTAGGGTATGCATATGCTACTTACACATTCGTAAGTCTTCTTAGTTTTGCATTAAAGTTGGCAGCTGCGGAATCGGACCGCGAGGACCAGACCTGAAAGGCCCGGGTGAGGTGGGCAGGACCCCGTGTGTCCCTTCGGTCTCGTCCGGGAGTTCAGGGGTGGACCCTTTAACCAGAAGAAGGTGAAACTCATTAAGTTGAGATATTTTTGCTGTGAACAATCCCCTTCGTATTGCTCAAAATTAAGGCTGTGACTCACCCCAAACGGCCACGCGAAGAGGACACAGTGACCGACACGTTTGAAGTGACTCCCGGACACTTACATGTATCCTGAAGACCTTTTCCGCGACGGTGATCGCAGCTCACCTTTTCCTTTGCCGTCTGCGGCTTTGGCGTTCCCGCCTGGCACTCAAGTCCTGAAATGTCAGTACCTTTGCTGGTGTGCTCCAGCTCCACCTCTGTCTAAGAAAATTAAAATCTGAATTATTTACGTCTCAAAGTCAGGATCATCGACTCAGTTACTCCCTTTTATGCAGAAACGATGGACTGATACATAGTCTGATTTTACACACACACACACACATTCTCAGCTCGCTGTAAGAGCCGCTGATAACGTTTGCTACAAATGCCAAATAATGTACCATTTACATTTTTTCCCATAAATTTCCTGAATTTGTTTTTTTAAGATTTTATTTTATTTATTTTTAGAGAGGGAAGGGAGGGAAAAAGAGAAAAAGAGAGAAACATCCATGTGCGGTTGCTGGGGGCCATGGCCTGCAACCCAGGCATGTGCCCTAGCTGGGAATCGAACCTGTGACGCTTTGGTTCGCAGCCCGCGCTCAGTCCACTGAGCTACGCCAGCCAGGGCACCATTTTCATTTTTATAGATGCTCACTTTTCTTGATTTCGTTATGTTTAGTTGTATATTTTTAGTGTAACTATTTTTGTTCATGTGCCAATAATACTAGAGTGAGAATGTGTGAAGTGTTTAGAAATAGTACAATGATAATAGGTAAGCTGCCTATCATTTATATTTTACTTAGCGTTCTTAACAACTTGAGGGACAAGATGAAAACACTCCATCACATTTTGTGACACACACTGAAATTCCTGCAAGAAACTCAAGCCAGTCGGTCCCTCAGCGCGCGATTGATGATCCGGACACTTTGCCTGCAATTGAGGGGCGTCCTCGCTAGGGGCGCTGTGGTGCAAGCAGCCCCTCCCCCAGAGGACTCAGGTGTTCGCACCCAGCTTTGCAGGTTCAGTAGGAATGTATCTCCAGGATCTGAAGTTAGTTCTTCCGCCGCTGCCACATTTAAAACAATGACAGCATTTATCTTCAAACTACTTTTCTGCTTGCTCTTTTAGCAGCGGCCCCAATAGACCCCCAACTTAGCCATGAGATTGCTTCTGAATTGCTTATCTGGGGGCCTGATCGGGCTTTCCAGAGCACAGCTGGAAACCTCCCCTGGAAAGACCGGTGTGCCTTTTTGTGGCGATAACACCAGGGGTTTCTGCACGGGAAGCTGGTGCGTGGAGGGGGCACTGCCCACCGACTGCCCTCTGAGCCCAGCAGCTCTGGGGGGCAGAGGCTCGGGGGTGAGGGCCCTGCCCGGTGTCCCCCCCAGGTGCGAGGGACCCTCCGCCAAACCCCACTCCCGACGAGGCCGCCCTATGCCTGCTGCAAACGGAGGGAGGGGACCCCTTCCCGGACAGCTCACTCGTCCGAAGGTGACCGAAGGGGCACGCACGTCCCCGCCAGCCGTCAACCGCTGGCGCGAAGGAGCCCGCCTCCGGGAAATGCTCGGTCCTCCTCCCCGTGAGCCCCTCCCACTTCTGCCCCAGAAGGGGAGGCACGGGAGCAGCTCCGAGAGGCCCCGGTGCCAGCGTGACCGTCCCTACGGGGGGGGGGGGCGGCCTGGGTGCCCTGCACGGCAGGTCCCCGGCTGTGCCCCTCCGGTGCCGTCCCTTCCCCCCCAGTCCTGCAGCAGGGACGGCCAGCGCACCGGAGAAGGCACCTGATGATACTTAGTCGATTTGTATTAAAACTGCCAGTTGCCTGCGTTTGTTTTTCACAGCCTCAGTTTTCCTTTTTCTACCCAAGAATTCACCAGCTGATGTTTTCCGAAGCCCGGGGGGGCAGTTCTACTCGGGCCTTTGAGGGGATGAGGCCACGATACCTTTGCTGTTGCCGATGTTTTAGGGAGACCCTCAGCCTGAAGGCTGAAGGGAAGGGGCTGGGCTCCTCAACGCACAAAGCCGGCCGCCCCCAGTCACCCCGGCCCCACGGCACCTCCCGGCAAGGGCCTGGCAGCCTCCGCCTGCCGCGCCTCCGCCCCCACCAAGACGCCCTGCCGAAACACACAGACTCTCGCCTTCTCGCCTCGCCTGGCGTCTTCCAGGCGCCGCGTGCCCACCCGTCTGCGCCAGGCCTGCAGCGTGACGCAGGCGACAGCAAGCAGGAGTCCTCCCACGTTTCTGAGCTTAACCGTGGCCTCGCTGCATCCTGGGCCACAGGGGGCCCTTAAGCCCCCATCCTCCCTGGATGCGGCCCACCTCCTTCCCTCCCTTCCTCTGCAGGGTCTTCTGCCTGCTCCCCGCCTCCCCCTGGCGCCCCACCCCAGGAGGCCTCTCCTCCTCTTCTTTCTGACCACGTGGTGCTAATCCCAGTGCCTGTGAGCCAGTGTGACATCGCCCCCTAGAGGACTGTCTTCCCGGGTGTCACAATGACAGCCCGGAGCAGGCCGCTGACCCCCGGGGAAACCCAGGGGATGCTGCCGCCGGTGCCAGCCCACCTCCGGCTGCCGAGCAGAGGCGGACCCTGGTCATCGTGAGCGCCGGCCCCACGGCCCCCTCGGCGCGCACTGAGGAGTTTACTGGGGAGACAGGACCCTCTGCCTGGAAGGCGGGTTGCTCTTGGCTCTGAAATCCGCACTGATCTGTATCACTCAAAACTAACACTGAAAAACTGAAAGGCAGAAGATGAAACCCCTGACTCTAGCCATCGGAAGCGAGGTGGTGGCGTTGTTAAAATAACACAAACGGAGCCGCTTGGGCACGGAGCCGGTACAGAGACACCCCTGCCCACCCGACCCCCAACACTCCGGAAGTTAAAGCCAAGAAACAACCTTTGCGCGGAGCCGAGCCACCTCGTGTCCCAACCCGCGGTCTGCGAGGTGACGAGAGCGGGTGCGATGACCGGAGGACAGACGGCCGCTGGGCGGGAACCGAAGACACTGTCTGGAGTCGGCGTCGCTGTGTCCCGGCGTCTGCACCCGTGGAGACGCCTCCTGCTGCGCAGGGGACTGCCCCCTCCCCGTCTCACGGACGCCCCGGCCCCGGCCTCCTCACTGGAGCCTTGCTGGGGCTTCCTTACAAGCTGGGCTGCGGCCTGGGCTTGCTCCGGTGTTTGGGGGGCTGCTGCACGTGGGGACACTGGGCGTCTCTCCTCGCACCTCGTGTCCTTGAAGACCCTGGAGGCCCGCGGAAGCCGGTCCCTGGGGCCTCCTGTCGGCCGCCAGCCTGCCACCTGCCACCTCCTCCCCCCGCCTGGCTCAGCCGAAGGCGAGGACGGCCAGGGGGAGGGTCCGCCGCTGTGGAGGCAGCTGGTGCCTTTGGGGGCTCTGAGGGGCCCCCGTCTGTCTGTTTGTTTGATCAACAAAGTTTGGTTCTCTTCCCACCCTTCCACTTTCCAGAGGATTCTCGAGGTTGCCCCAGAAAAGCAGGCCAGTCTCCAGAGCTAGCACCCCAGACGAGGGCTTTTCTGAGAGCTGGGGCTGCTCGCCCACCCCCAGGGCACCTGAGCTGCTCTGCCCACCTTCAGCCACCCGCCGGGCTCTGCAGACCCGGCCGGCTCCAGGCAGATGCACAGGGAGATGGACAGGCCACGGCCTCCAGCACCACACACAAGGCCAGCACCTAGCTCAGCAGGCGGCCAGCACTCAGGCTGCCTCTGCGTCTCAGAGCAGCACAGCCGTGGGGCGGGGACAGCACGAGGGAAAGGGACGTCGTGTGGCCGGGGGCCGCACAGACGGGAAGGCTAGTCCACGGGGAAGGTGCTGGGAGGCGAGGCTGTTTCGGCGAGGTCTGGGCCGCCGTCTCCGGGCCAGGAGAGCCTGGGTTGCCCCGCGGGTGGGAATGGCCCGCCCCTCCCGGTGGGGAGAAGAGGCAGAGCACTGTCTGTCCTGTGTCCGCTTGTCACAGCTCCAGCTCAGAGCCCTCCTTACACCCCAGCCGCACGGGGGCGGCGCCCCGGGCCCCTCCAGCAGCCAGCCGGGTGCCAGGGGCTGAGGAGCCGAGGACCGGAGCCCCTGGCCGCGGGGAGGTGGCGGTTTCTGGACAGACGTGTTAGGGCTGTCCCTGCTGGGCCCTGGAGCCCCAACCTCGGAGTCAGCAGGTCCGGCCGCTGTAAGTCACGTGAGCGCCAACCCGCCCGACCAGCTGGTCTCCCTGGGGACACCTCCTCCCCAGCAGAGGCCCGGGGCAGCCCCGCCCAGAGCGGGGACACTCTGCCTCCCCAGCGGCACACCCTCCTTGTCTGTCCACCTGAGCAAACACAGCGCCGGCTCCTCTGGACTCTGGGCTCTGGCGGCTGCCATGGGCGTCGGCCGGGACAGGTGCAGCGGGGACTTGGGGGCAGGTCAACGGCCACGCCGTTTACAGTTTACAGTGGCCGTTTACAGCCACCTGGTAAATCAGAATCCCGTGTCCCCTAACCAAGGACGACGCTTCAGGAGAAATACACAGTTCGCACTCCCCTCTCCAGCCAGGAGGTACATAGTCTGAAACTACCCCGCTCAGAGGGAGATAACAAAATCCTCCTGCTCTTTGCGCCAGCCACACCCGAGGGCGGACGGAGTCAGGGGAATGGATCCCACCCTGGCGCGCCCCCACAGAGCAGGTGGCTGTTATGGGGAGACCCGCCCCGGGACACCCCCGGACGCCCAGCCAGCTGCTCCCTCTCTCCGGAGCGCGCCCGGCCTTTCTCCGCCCTCTCCCCCCCCCAGGCCCGGTCCTTCCGCCTCTCCCTCCTCTCACCTCCAAGGGCCCTTCCTCTGCCCCCGCAACTCGCTTCCTGAGCCCGCGCGGCCCCGCCGGCTCGCTTCCACTGCCTCCGTGACCTCCCACATGAACCTCCGCTGCTCATCTGCGGACCTGGCTCTGAGTTCTCTCTTCGCCGAACTCAGGGTCTGGGGTCCACCTTCTCCGGCAAGGACGGGGGGCTGTTTCATCGCCAGGACCGCCCGGAACTCAGTGGCCCGAGGGGTCTTCCCTTGGATCTGGGTCCGAGCGAGGCCCTCGGGCGCGGGGGAGAGAGCCACACGCCTGGGCTCCAGGCACGCCGAGAGTGGGAGCGTTTAAGAATGGGGACGTAAGGAACGTCCAGATCCGGAGAGACTTTTTATGAGTTTATGTGTATCACAAGGTCTCCAAATGCTCCCCAGGGGGACAGTTTTGCCTTTGGAATTGAGGAGGGGGGTACAGGAGGTGGGAGAAAGCAGGGCAGGTGGGGGGGTGGCCGCAGGGCTGACCGGGTCGCTGCTCTGGGAGGGCGGCGGTGCCTCCCAGGGCCACTCCTGCGGCGTCTCAGACGCCTGGGAACCCGGATGCACAGCCACCGTGGCCAGGGCTGGCCTCCAGCCCACAGAGACCTTCGCTAAAGGAGCTGCGGGCCCGGGGCAAAGCTGCCCACGGGACCTCCCCGGTAAGAATTTACGGTTTATTACAACACCCCGGTCCGTCCACACCCCTGACTTGCCCCTGGTCGTGGGCGTGGAGGGGAGGAAAGAATTCTTTTCCTTCTGCCCCTCCCACACCCGGGAACAGCCTGTGGGTGTGCCCTTGTGTCTGTGTGTGTGTGTGTGTACGTGCGCCACACTGATCGTGCAATCCACGGCCGTGACACACTGGGAGGTGTATCACGCCCCGCAGTGGTAACGACACAGCAGACCGACCTGTGGAGCGGCGTGCGGCGGGAGGAGGGCCGGAAGGAGGCACCTTGTGGGTGCGTGCACCTGGCCGCGTGGAAACTGCAGGCCGGGCTCGCTCGAGCCTCAGCTGGGCCTCCACTGAAGCCGCTCCGGGCCTGGGGCGTGGCCGCGCACCGTGACCCGCCTGGCTGGGAGCTGTGCCCGGGCCCCCCGTGGGGTGACTTCCCACAGAACCCCTTTTCCGCCCACGAGCGTCCCGACAGGAACGTGCCTGGTTGCGAGTCACGCCAACCCCCTCCCACCCCTCGACACAGGCTGCCTCAGCAACGGGGCGGCTGCCCCTCGTGCGACAAGAAACCGGGAGGCGGGCGGTGGCCCTGAGCTGACCCGGGGCTCCCACGTGTCGCCAGGGACCTGGCTCCCCCCACTACCTGCCCGTGTCTGAGCAGTGTCTGACCCCTCTGAGTCCCCAGGAGAGTCCCCGCTCCCGCAGGGGCCCCCACGGTGCCGGCTGAGGGGGTGGGGATGAGGCCAGGGGGCGGGCCAGGCCCTGAGCCCCAGGACAGAGTCTGGTCAGTAGCAGACGAATCTAACAAGGTGCCTGGCAGGGCCCCGGCCTGTTTCAGCCGCGTGGCCAGTGACTCAGTCTCCCGGGTTTGCTGCCACAGCGGCGCGTGGACTGGAGGCAGCGGGAGCGGTGGGCTGCGGCGGCGACCCCTCCCTGGTCAGCCCAGGGTGACGGTCAGCGATGCCATCACCCGCAGCCACCCAGGCAGGGACTCATTGTGCAGCTGTGGCCCGGGGTGGCGTCGGCCACAGGGGGCAGAGGCAGGGAGCACCGTCCTCCCCCGCGTCGACCGTGAGAAGCACCACGAGACGAGACGAGAAGGCAAGGGGGAGCGGCTCCCGACCGGCGGTGAAGATCTGGAGCAGGGGCCTTGGGGAGCGGCCCGCCTCAGGAGCCCCCCAGGTGGGCTTCCACTGCGCCCCCGCAGCCGGCGTGCCGGCCCGCGGGCCGGAGGAGGCTGGGCACGCGGAGCCACGGCACAGGTCCGTGAAGTTTGGGTGCCATCGGGGCTGTGGGGGGCCCAGCGTGGTCCCCTCCGGGGGGGAGGCCGAGGGCAGGGGGTTGTTCTGGGTCAGCGGCGCAAGCTGACAGCGGTCAGCAGCCGTGCACATCGGCGTCCCAGCCGTGGGTGTCCTGCAGACAGACGGACACCGGGCGTCAGAGGGGAGCAGTGGCGGCCTGGGGTGGACGGGGGGGCGGGCAGAGAGGGGCTCTCAGGCTCCGGCCCCACCACGGGCCCTGGTCTACCACCCGGACACCATCTCGCTGGCTTCCCTTTTCTTCCTTTACAAATGTTTTTACTCTTCAATTCACACTATCGTTCAGTATCCGTGGGACCATCCCTGCTGGCCGTGCACGGAAGGGACAGCGGCGGTGGGGGCCGAGGTGCACCGACCGGGAAGCCCCCCCCCACCGGGGGTCGCCGGCCCCGCGGCAGCACCCGCCCACCCTCGCTGGGCATTCCCTCCCGGCCGCAGCGGCCCACGCCGGGTGGTGCTCTCGGAGGGCCCCAGCCTGCCCCAGGCAGGCGAATGGGGCTCCAGGGGTGGCTGGCACCACTGGCCCCTCCTGCTCCTTCCTCTCCCGGGATCTCTGCTTCGGGACGGCCCGCGCTGAGGCGCTCGGGCTTGGGGCTGGGACAGGAGGGAATGCTGACACTTGAGTTTTCTCGCTCGGGACCAGGCCACCCGTCTCTCCCATGCCGATCCTGGCCACGCCCATCAGCACGCCTCTGCCTGCAGCCCCGGGGACAGCCCCGAGGGACATGGCTCATCTCCCATCCCACCACACAGGGAGGCTCCCCCACCACCAGCGCCGGCCCTGGGTGTCCTCAGCAGGACGCACCAGCCAGCAGACCTGTTCTGAACAGGCCTCGGCGGACGTGGAAGTCACTTGGCTGCCCGGGGCGTCACGCACCGAGGAGCCGGGGACGTCACCTGCAAAGGAGCCCAGAGGTCCCATGAGCAACCCCTCCCCTCCCCCGGAGCCACCTGCAGCCTGTGAGACCGGGACGCCTTGGAGGTCCCACTGACCCGGACAGGGGGGCCTGGCGTGCAGGAGAAGGTGGGTGGCTGTCTTCATCTTGGATAAACAGATCAACAGCAACCCGGACGTGTGATTCCAGAGCAGGGCCCCGCCCCTCGCTCCCCAGCCTGGCCGGACCCCTCGGAAAGGTGGCCGAGAGATGGGTGTGGGGAGGCAGGCGCGTCTGGGGGGCCAGCTCAGTGACAAGGCCAGGCCCAGTGGCCACGCCCGGGAGTGGGAGACCGGTCTCAGAGGGCCGGGAGCGTTTCTGGCCCGACGGGATGGGCAGGTGTGTGGGCGCCGCCCGGGGAGAGGAGGCAGTGGAGACGGCCACGGGGTTCACACCACAGGGTGGGGGCTGCTCCTCTGGAGCCCCCCATGTTTTCTGCGTGTCACAGTGGAGCCCCCAGGCCTGCTCGCCAGTGTCTTCTGTCTGTCCAGCTTGTCACAGACAGACAGCGCCGTGGGGGACTGGCTCTGGGATGGGACAGTGTGGGTGTGTGTGGGGTGTGGGGCTGGGGGGACAGTGAGGGGCCGGGGGGGACAGCGGAGGCCAGGTCCCACGCCCGAGGCCTGCACGCTGGTCCGAGCTCCTCTCGTGAACCTCGGGCGCGGGCGGGGCTCCGGGGGAGCCAGTTATGGAAATCAGACGCCTGAAAATAGGGTGCAGTTTCACCGCCATCTTGACAGTTCCTTATCATGAGATTTCTTTGCAAAGTGCATTTCCTTTAACATCTGTGTTCTCTTTAAAATCTGTGCGCTGTCCCAAAACTCGGAAACAGGCCACAGGCATCTGAGGGCAGAAGGGCAGGGGTCCCTCCGGGCCAACTCTCCCGCCCGGAGACGGGGCGCCGGAGTCTCCTGGCAGACGCATCCTGTGCTGGTGTGCACGCACACGCGTGTGCACATGTGTGCACGTCTACACCCTAGCATGCACACACGTGCACGCATCCTCCCTGCAGCGAGCTCAGGCTCTCCGTGCTCAGACACGGCCCCTCCAGCCCTTCCTCCAGTTGGCTCTCTGGGGCGCCCCGCCGGCCTTGCCCGGGGCGAGGCGGGGCCAGATAAGCTACTGCTGAGGACAGTAAGTCGCAAGCCGGGCAGGCCGCGGTGCCAGCGGCCCGCTGTGTCGCAATGATTTCCCAGGCTCCCGCCGTCTTGCGAAGGACGGCAGGAGGGACGGGGCCCCACGGTCCGACGGCCCCGGAGCCGAGAAGCCGAGTGACACGGTAGCGGCCGGAGCTGAGCGGGCCGCGGCTGTAGGTAACAGTGACGGGGGCGGGGCGGGCGGGCGGGCTGGGCGAGCGTCCGATGTTACGAGTGTGTGCGCGTGGTGGCCGCGGAGGCACGGGGTTATCTCTGGAGTCTGACCAACGTCACCTCACATCCCAGGGCCTTTGCCAGGCACCAAACAATAGATCGGAAGCTGCCTAGAAAGTTCCGGCACAAGCACCACTGCCGCCCCTCGTCCGGGCGGCGTGGAGCGGCTGCCCTCGGCTGATCTCCAGCTTCCTCAGCTGCCAGGGACCGCCCCGCCCCAGGGGTCGGAGCTGCAGGGTCGGAGCTGCAGGCTGGGGCTTCCAGGCTCTGCCGAGAGAGCCCGCCGGGCCGGCGCCCCTGCAGCGGGGCGACCGCTGGGCTGGCCGGTGCTCCTCCGGGCCCTTGGGGGGACTCGGGGCTGTGACCGCAGGGAGCCGCCCTCCCCGCCCCGCCCTTTGGACTGAGCACCTGCTTCATCGTGGGGACAGCGGCCCCCACCTGCGAGGGTCCGACCCTTAATCACTGTTTGCTCTGCGCCTCCTCCGTGGGGACCAGCCTCCAGGAGGTCGGGGCCCCGCCCAGACTGGCCCCCAGGGCAGGCGGCCCCCCCGCAGCTGCGGGCAACTAACTGTGGGATTCCGAGCCACTCGGGAGCCAGCAGAAGGCTCACGGGGAAGGGAGAGGGGGTTGGGTGCGGAGGACAAAGGCGAGGGGGTGTGTGCACGTATGTGTGCGCGTGTTTTACACACGCGTGCGCAAGTGTGCCCTAAACCGGGGTCTGCGCCATCCCTCTGAGTGCAGAGAAGGAAGATTTCCCCGCTCTGGCTCACCTCACGTTGCAGGTTGTGGGGTCACGTGGGTGACGTCAGCTGCCGCAGGTCGGGGTCCCGAGGACACCCGTGGGTGATGGGGCCGCAGGGCCAGGCCACTCTTGTGCCCCCCAGGCCTGCGGAGCCCCCCTCGTCCCTCCAGCTGCGTGCTGTGGGGCAGCGGGGGGAGGACGGGCCCCAGGAAACCCCTGACTCCGAGGGCCTGCCTCGCCAGGTTCCCGGCCACGGCCGCCAGCTCCGCGAGGGGCCAGCGGGCTCCCCAGCCACCCCTCGGCCTCGGCAGCCGCTTCGGGGCGCTGGCCAGGAGGAAGCGCCCACTCGGGCCGGCGCTGTGCCGCGAGGTGCGGGCTCCGGAGGAAGCCCCAGCATGCCTCCTCCCGCAGCTCGGAGCCCCTCGCTGGGCAGGGTCCGCCCCGTCCCCCGTCTGCGTGCGAGCTCTCACCCTGACGTGCGTGGAAGCGTGTGCTTTCTTTCCAAAGGGACAACCATGGGTTACCCTTCCCTCGTGTCGGAGCCGTTTTCCCTTCCCACCGAAAAGGTGACTGATTTGAATCGCGATCCTGCATCGCCTGGTCCCGGGGCCTTGGTGTGGTAGCCAGACAGTGACGACACAGTGACACCTAGTGGCGGGGGGCGGGCCCCGCAGGGTCAATGCCTGGGGCCCCCTCAGCAGGGTTCTCCCCGCCGTGGGCCACCGTGTCTTCCTCTCCAACATCCGACAGGCGGCCCCGCGCATCCAGGCAGTTCCACGGAACCACCTTCCTTCCTCGGAGTGGTGCAGTACCGGTGTCAGCTTTAGGGCCTGGGGGGACGTACCTTTGAGTCGCTTTTACCTCCATCTGTTCGGCCACGGGAGGCGTGCCCCTGGTGACGAGGCCGAAGCCAGCGGAAAAGTCACACACGCACTGGGAGGTTCGTCCGGAGAACGTGCAGCCATGGTTAACCTGACGAGAACCGTTCGGGTGACACCGGCGTCACCCGGCAGCCCAGGGGCGTGGACTGGAGTGCGCAGGTGTGAACGGTGACGACCTCACCGTGCTGGTCAGTGGGGGCGGTGGGTGCTGCTGAGCGAGCGTGTGTGCACTGTGTGGGTGTCTCACTCAAAATGACAGTGAGTGGAGCAGTGAATCTGCACCAGATTTTGTGTTAGGCTTGAGGATTCCTGTGTGGAAACTATTCGGATGAGTCAGAAGGCTTTCAGGGACAATACAATGAGAGCAGCACAAACAAAAGTGCAGCACAAATCTTCAAAGACGGCCGAGACTCCGTAGAGAGTGACCCCCGTCCGGAAGGCCTGCAGCAGGCAGAGCCCCCGAGGGTGCGGAGCGCGTGCGGGCTGCAGTCAGCTGAGACGGGCGACTGTCAGGGCACGAGCTGGAGGCCGATCTGGGGATTCCGAAAACTACCACTTTCCCCAAAACTAAAGTCACCTTTGAGAGGGGAGAGATTTCAAACCATGGATGAGACTCAGGAAGATACCACGGGGCAGCCGATGGCGATCGGGAGAACCGTGTGGGGTCCCAAGGTGCCCTCTTGGAAGGGGACTGAGGCGTCGCCGTCCTGTGTGCAGTGTTTCTTGTCTCTTGGGTCTTCTTCAGTAAAAGTCTCCACTTCCCACAGCCCGTGGCGGGATTCTTTCTGGACAGGCCTTCATGTGCACACGAGTGTGTCTCTGCGTGTGGCCACAGCTCGGCCCTCCTGGGTTTCAGGACTCGGCACGGGTCCCAGAACGAATCCAGGGGGAGAGCCGGGGCGCCACTGTGTATATATGCATGAAAGAGTTCCACCCGGCCGTGAAACAGAACGGAACCTTGCCACCTGCACGAAAGAGGCAAGTGCTGGTGCCCTCATTTGTGCGTGGGACCTGGAGAGCGACGTGAACGGACACACAACCTCGGAGCAGAAGTGCAGAGACTGAGAAGGCACTGATGTCTGCCCGCAGGGCGGGGCTGGGAGGAGGAAACACACTTTCAAATAAACCAGAGAGAAACCCTCGCTGAACGGTGCGGTGGGGGGGGTGGGGGGGCGGAGCCGGGCGGGAGGGCCAGGGGCAGGGCCCAGGCCTGACCCGTAGCATCTCCAGGCCCCTCCGAGGGCGGCGCCCGTCTGGGAGTGTGGCCCGGTGCCCTGCTGCGGGCAACAGGGAGCGACGCGTGTGAGGCCCGTGTCCAGGCGTGGAGCGCCTCGGACCCGCGTGGGCGCCCAGTTATCCCGGCGGGTGCAGCCACGCCGTCTCTGAGCCGCCCACACTTCGGCCCCCGGCTCTGACAGTCAGGGTGACACTTTCAGGTGACCTGTGTGTCCTCGGGCCGAGGTTCGCGCTGCGCTGTCTGAGGCCGAAGTTCATTCCACCTTGCGCACCGTCCATGGTCTCTCCTGCGGTGGCCGGCACCGTGATCCGTGCGCGATGGTGCATGTGTGTGACGTTACATGAGGTGCAACCGTACTCTGGGGCGGGAAGCCGTCGCTGCAACAGAGGGGCCGTCTCCGGCGGAAGTTAGAGGAGAAAGTGCATGGACGCCCGGCTGAGCAGCCTGGGCCCTGGCCCCGCTGGAAGGGGGCGGCGGTGGACGGTGGGCGGCGCGGGCAGAGGGGTGGCCCTGGCGCTTCGCGGTGTCTGTCATTACCGAGTCGTTACCTCCCACAGCCTCGTGACCGGCCCTCCACCCCGCGTGGCGGAGTGCTGTGGCGGCAGCGGGGTGCAGACCGATCCCCACACCGACCGCGCCCGGTCAGGGAGCCCCGCATCCCCGTGTCTGCGGAGGGCCGGCACCGGCCGCCAGCGCGATGGACAGGAACCTGAGGAACGTGCTGGTGGTCTCCCTGGGGTTCCTGCTCCTCTTCACAGCCTACGGGGGGCTGCAGAGCCTGCAGGTACGTGCCGGTCCGCACGCCGTCCCGGCCTCCATGGGCCCCGCGGCTGCAGGCCAGGGGAAGGCGGGTTTTCCCATTGGGCAGCTCGGCCCGAACCCTGCAGAGCGGCAGTGGAGGTGGTGTGGACACCCGGTCCCCGGGGCAGGCCTCTGGCCCAGCCCGGCGGGCTTGCACAACGGGGGCGTGTGTCTGACCCTCGGACCGGGAGGCTGGGGCTGGCCGAGACATCCCCTGCCTGTGGCTGGGTTAAAGGAGTTTCCAGCAGAATCTCTGGGGACCCTGTGGCTTTGTGGTCGGGGGAGGAGCGGGAAGGGCTCAGACCGCACCAGACCGTGCAGATTTGGGGCTGCTTCACGCAGAACCGTACACGCAGACAGCCCGGGGTCTGCCTGCCCCTCTGTGGCCCCGCCCTCCTCAGGTCCTCCCCCCTCCCCCCGCAAGGGCCGGGGGCGCGTGTGCCCGGGGTGGCTGTGCTGTCCCTGTCCAGGCAGCCGCGGCTCACGGCTCGTCTCTGAGACTCAGGCGTGCGGGAACCCGGGGAGGCCCCAGGGGCGTTCATTCTCCCAAGTTGTGCCCCGTGGCCTCGGGGCCGCCTCGCAAGGAAGCGTTTTTAGAGTTTCTGCTGACACACACGCGTGGGGTCTCACATGGCTGCCAGTGGGGGTCCCGGAGCAGCCCCCCACCCCCACTGCTGTGTGCCGGAGGGGAACCCGAGAGGCGCAGCGGGCCAGGACCGGCGGTGCAGGGCAGGGAGGGGCTGGGGTTCTCTGTCCTCACTGCTGGCCGGCCGCACACCCTCTGGACCTGGGGTGCGGCCTCGAGTTCCCATGGGTGCGTGTCCCCTGCAAACCCCCGCGGATCCTGTTTCCAGTTGGACTCAGAGAGGATGGGACTGCGGCCAATGGTGGGGCTGGAAACCGGCCCAGAGGGCGGCAGCCTGCTTTCCTGCCCGGCCAGCTCACGGCTTTTGTGACACAGCCCCCAGGATGCGGGGCCCTGCTGTGAAATGTCAGGGTGCCCGGCACACCCCTCCTCTTGTGTGGAGGGGCCCAGGCTGAAAGGAGTGGGTGCTGTCCGGACGACCTGGCGAGGCCGTGCAACCCCACGTGGAGCCCCCCACTGGGGGGACCCTGGGGGGGCAGCTCCCCTGGGTGCAGGCCTCCCCACGGGGTTGGACCCTGCAGGCGCTCCGCAGAACGGTGGCAAGTGACCTCTGCCCGTGGACGCCGGAGGAGGGAGGGACGAGGGGGGGAGAGCTGCTCAGGCCGTGACTGCGGCCCCGGCTCAGGGGGCAGCTCGCTCGGGACAGGGTGACAGTGGCCCGAGGACAGCCGGGCAGCCCCGAGGGCAGCGACACGCCCGCACCGGGTGCCCCAGCCGGCCGGACCCCAGGGGGCGAGGAGCGCCCTATCCTGGGCGTGGTCCCCTCCGCCTCGGGCGACAGGGGGTGGTGGAACGCCTGACTCGGGCCTGGAGCCGCCCCGCCAACCCGAGCACCCCTCCTCCCTCCGAGCTGGGACCGTGTCGCCCCTGCCCCCAACCGGACTGCAGAGACGCGTCCGACCCGGGTGACCCCGTCTACCAGGCCCAGCTTAAGCAAAATCACCTGGTGACGTGGACAGAAGTGGCTGCACCTGCCACCGAGGATGCTCCCGTCTGTCGGTCCCTCTGGCCAGCTTTATCCTCGGGCCCCAAAGTGGAGGCCGAGACGGCCGTCGTGAGCCTCGCGGGGTCCCAGGCCTGGCCACGAGCCCGCCCGGGGCCCGGTGAGCCTCCCCGCATTTCCCGCCGAGGCAGCCGCCACCACCGACTCCCGCCTGTCACTCGGATGTCCCCGGGGATGCCACTTCCCCTCTCCTTCCCTGTGCCCGGGGTGCCAGTCCCGCCGAGGGGTGTCACCCCCAGCTGCGCCCTCTCGCCTGGCTCTGCTTGAGCAGAACAGTGCGACCCAGCGCCCCGGCGCCCTGGGGTCGGGTCGGGCAGCTCTGCGGCCGCACCTGCCCGCAGCCCCGTGTCCTGAGCTCTGTCACCTCACGGAGGGACCTGGGCACAGATGTCCCTGCAGCTCCCCTGGGCGTCGGCCCCTCCCCCCTTTCCCAGGTCAGCTCCTCGTATGTCATCCCCCCCGCCCCCCGAGCTCCTGTGGTCCTCACTCCTTCTAGAAAAGTCTTCCCGATGCCACTGGGCTGACTGAGCGCCGTCCTGGGCCAGCTGCTGGTGCTGTGGACACCTGGCGGCCCTGTCACCACCTGGGAGCCACAGCCCTGCCCCCTGTCCCTGGGGTGTCCCTGCCCAGCTGCCTCCCCCCCCTTCCCCTTGCGCGTGGGAGGAGGACACAGGGTCTGGTTTGGGTCCCTGTTGGACCCCTGGCCACTCCTTACCGGGCGACACCACGAGGCTCTCAAGGGACAGATGACAGGAAAACGGAGAGCATGAGCGTGGTCCCACAGCGCGACATGGAGCTTCGCATGCGTCCCTCGTGCGGGGGCCTGGACACGCTGTCCACCCCGGCCGCCTCGGCCGCCCTTGCGTGCTGGCAGGGGTCTCGGGGAGCCGGGCCGCCCGCCTCCCCTCCCCGTGCGGGCCGGGCGCGCTGGGGGCCGGGCCGGGGCCGCGGGTGAGCCGCTGAGCGGGCCCTCCCCCCACAGAGCAGCCTGTACAGCGAGGAGGGCCTGGGCGTGGCGGTGCTCAGCACGCTCTACGGCGCCATGCTGCTGTCCTCCATGTTCCTGCCGCCCCTGCTCATCCGGACGCTGGGCTGCAAGTGGACCATCGTCGCCGCCATGAGCTGCTACGTGGCCTTCTCCCTGGGCAACTTCTACGCCAGCTGGTACTCCCCGCGCGGCGCGTGGCGCCCGGCGCCAGGTCCCGTCTCAGGCGCGGCGGCGGCACACGCTCGGCCCTCGCCCAGTGCCGCCCGCTGCTCCGCTGTGGAAGGAGCTCGGCGCCCGAGACCCCTGGGCCCCGCGCGGGGCCGCGGTGTGGCTCTGTGCCCTCTGCCGTGCCCCCTCCTCCCGCCGACGCCCGGGCTGACCTTGCCTCAGGCCTGGGTGGCCTCCCTCTCGGTGACCAGGGGCCTTTAGGGCCCCAGGGACGGCGGCCCCAGGGCGGGGTCAGGGAGACTGGGCCGAGGAACCGCTGGGCCCGCCCCCTTAGCGCAGACGGTGGGCGTGCCCACCTGAGCCCCGCCTGCTCCCTGGAGGAGAGGGACCTCGGGGACCCAGCCCTAAGCGCACCGGCCGCACGCCCCGCGCCCAGGCCCTCCTCTGAGGGACGCCCTCTCGACATCCAGGACGCACGGTGGCGATGGCCCCCAGTCCCCTTTTCCGGTTGCCGTGGGTTTCCACGCAGAAGCCTCCCTGAGGAGGGCGACACCGACCGGTTCCCCCACCCCCCACCCCCTGCCACCGCCACTGTGAGCAAAGCTGAGAGGGACGCCCAGGTCCTCCCCCCTCGCCTGTGACCCCGCACGTGCCCTTTACTGTCGGACACAGAGGCCACGGCTCTGCCTGTCACTCTTGCAATGACCCTGAACCAGGCGCGGCCCGCGGCTGGGCTCATCTCCCCGAGTCTGGTGGTGGTTGGGGGGGACGCACCCCTCCCTCCAGCCAGTCCTTGAACACAAGGAGGTTTCCGCGGTCGCCCCCCCAGGAGAGGGCAGGACGGAGGGGACAGCGGCCCCTTCCGTTTGCACCCCGCCCTGCAGGTACACCCTGGTGCCCACCTCGGTCCTGCTGGGCCTGGGCGCAGCGCCGCTGTGGTCCGCGCAGGGCACCTACCTCACGACCGTGGGGAACGCCTACGCGGAGAAGGCGGGACAGGTCGGCAGAGACGTGGTGAACCGGTATTTCGGCATCTTCTTCCTCGTGTTCCAGTCGTCCGGCGTGTGGGGCAACCTCATCTCCTCGCTGGTGTTCGGCCAGACGCCCACTCAAGGTACAAGGGACCGGGCGCGGGGAGGACCCCCCCCCACCCCTGAGAGGGCCCCGGGGGGCCCTGAGGACAAGCTGCTCAGCCTGCCTGAGCCTCAGCGCCACCTGGCTCCTGGCTGTCCCCCCGGGGCGGTGTGGGTGGGCCGGAGGGTCCCCGCTGCCTCGGACACTCCCCTCCCGGAGAGGCCGAGGCCACCGCCCGTGGAATTGACTCTGTGGGGTCAACGCTGTCCTCTCAGACTGTGGGAGGTCAGCTTCCAGGGACCCCCTTTCCCCCGAATGGACCCGCTGACCAGCGTTTTTTGTTTGGTTTGAGTTTTTCTTTTTTTAATGGGATTTTAGTATTGTCCAGAAGCTGGCTGTTGTCAAAGGGGCTGTGGACACGGTGCAGAATTTTTTATCCTTGCTCGAGGGTGTGCCTACTGATTTCAGGGAGAGGAGAAGGGGGGGGAGGAGAAGAGGGGGAGAGGGAAACATGGAAGTGAGAGAGAAACTGACCGGCCGTTTCTTGTACGTGCCCTGACCGGGGACCAGACTCGCAGCCCAGACATGCGACTTGGCCGGGAATCGAACCCGCAACCTTTTGGTTTACTGGACGATGCCCAACCCACTGAGCCACACCGGCCGGGGCCACTGACCAGTGTGGTTTCAAGGCCACACCCAAGACCGTTCCTTCCTGGACGGGTCTGAGCGTTGAGGATGGACGTTCAGAGGCACCTGGGCCGGCCCGGCTGCAAAGTGCGCCCTCTGGTGTCTGAGAGTGTAAACCAGGGCGGGGGGCGTGAGTCCCACCGTTCCTGCAGGACGGACACCTTTGACAGAGAGGGCGTCCAAACCCTCCGCCTGTCCCAGGGTGACGGCCTCTAGCTCCTCCTCCTGGCCCGCCCATCCGCCGGTCCGCCGAAGAAAGCCCCGCCTTCGGGAAACTCCCCCACCAAGGCCCCTCTTCCCTTTCTCCTCCTGCCACGTCGTGGGAGGTCACCTCCTGTTCTCCCCTCGGATAAGGCGGCCGACACCCGGAAAAGACGGGCAGTGGCCGGGCCATGGGGCCACGGGCCCGGCGTCCAGTCTGCGTGAGGACCCAGGCCCGCCCACGTGGACCCTCACAGGCGTTCTTTCTTCCTGATTAATTTACAGAGTTGAATTTTTTATTCACGTCAGGAGAGCGATTTAACGGGTGACAGGCATCTGACACCTGTGTCTGGACCGTGTTAACAGGGGGCGTGCGCCCCCGCGCCCCAGGGGACGCGTTCTGAGACCCCCAGTCCAGCCAGCCGCGTCCCGAGACCTTGGGCAAGCTGACGCCGGGCTCGGGGGTTGTGCACCCTCCTCTTCCCCGGGCCCTTCTGCTCCCCGTGTCCCCGGTCCCACGGAGTTGCCCGTGTCCTCACGCCGCCTGTCCCCCCGCCCCCCGCAGGCCCCGTCCCTGAGGAGCAGCTCGCGTCCTGCGGGGCCCGGGACTGCCTGATGGCCACGGCGCCCGGCAACAGCACCCAGCGTCCCACCCAGCAGCTCATCTACACCCTGCTGGGCATCTACACGGGTACGTGCTCGCAGCGCGGCACTGGCCGAGTCCTGCGGAGGGCGGAGCCTCGCTGGGCCCCCAGTCTGCCGGCCACCTCCCGGCCCCGTGTGTCCTCACAGACAGGGGACCAGGCACCGCCGACCGGCGGGCACAGCTTCCCGGGAGGGTGGGAGCCTCCAGCCCCCGCACGGGCCAGCCCCGTAGCCATTCCCCACAGGGGGCTGTTTGAATGTTAGTTAACTAAGTTGCAAAGACCGTCTCTGAGTCAGGACAGCCACCTCCCAGTGCTCAGTGGCCTCTCTGAGCTACGGCCACCACGGCGGACAGCTCGTGGTGGACCAGGCGTCGGAGGAGGGGCCGCCTGCATCCCAGCCACGTCCGACGACCCAGACACGCAGAGTCCCCACGCAGGGTCGTCTCCTTCTGCGGCCGTCCTCGAGGGACTCCTGCCGAGAGGCCGGTGCAGGGCACCCTTCTCTCCTGCCCCTCACCCTCGCCAGTGCGGGCTCAGGGCTGCCCACGGGGCAGCCGGGTGCACGGACACTAAGCCCCACGGAAAAGATGGGGCCCCGGAGGGGCTGATTGGCAGAAGGAGCCTGGTCCTCGGGGGCCTGTCTCAGCGGAAAACGTCCGTGCTGATGGTCTTCTAAGGGACTCCGCTCCTGCTGGGGGGCGCCTCGGAAGGTTGTTGTTTTTTCTCTGGCTGGCATCTTGGAGGGAATTTAAGTCTATCTTTGGGTCACTCTCAATGAGTGTGAAGTTCACGAAGGTCATGGAAGGCTCCTGACGAGCAAGGGCCTGGTGTGTGTGGATCGGTGGGACCACACCCAGACTTCCCGGGGTGGGGGCGGGGTCTCGGGGGCTCCAAGGAGCCGCGGGCGGCTGCCGCGACTTGGCAGCTCCCTTCGGAGGTCACTGCTGCGCCAGAGGCTCGGAGGGAGCCCTCGTGCAGCAGCCACTGGACGGGGAGGAGGCACAGTGAGCCCTGGCAGACGCCAGCCCCTCTCTGCTCTGGGCCCCGGGGAGACGGGCCCCCCCCGCTGTCAGCTGGGGGCTCAGCGAAGGGGGCAGGTGCACGTCCACCCGGCCGGACTCTGATGGAAGGGCTCTGCACAGTTCCCCAGTGACGCGCAGCTGCAGCTCCGCGCGGGGCCCAGCTCTGGGGCTGCGTGGGCCAGGGGGCGGTCCCCTCCCCCCCCCCCGGGGTGTGAGTGGAGGAGGGGAGCCGGGAGGGCGCGGGAGGCAGAGGCTGAAGCAGGGGCCGTGGTAGGAGGGCGCGTGCGGGGGTGCAGGGCCTCAGGTTTCCGCCGCGCCTTGGCCGGGCGGTCTCCCCGGAGCAGGCGCCAGGCAAGGCGGGCACGGAGGACCACGATGTGTCTGTCCTAGCAAGGCTTCGTGTGCAGAAGCGGGGGGGGGGGGGGGGCAGGTCCGGTCCCGAGACTGCGGTTTGCTGGCCGTGTGCGTCCCCGAAGAGCAGCTCAGGCCCTGGGCACGGGCACAGCCTGCGTCTCCAGTCCCCTTTGCGCCCCCTGGCAGCAGCCAGGCCTGCCCCAGTTCCGAGAAGCCGGCACCCTGGGGAGCTGGAGTCCAAAGGTCGCCCGAAACGGAGACAGTGTCTCCGGTTACTGGGCTCCTGGCTTCCTTGCAGGAAGAGCCTCGTCAGTCTCTCTCCTCGAAGCAAAGCCACACTGCCACAAAGACAAGACAAGGAGAAGAGGAGGAAAGTGGATGACAGGCAGAGCCCACCGTCTCCCTGGAGCGATTTCCAGGGCTGCAGGCTCTGTCCACCCCCCCACCCCCCCGCCCCAGCTCCTCTGAAACGCAGGACGCTGCTTGGGCAACCTCAGCCCTTTCCCAACCCTGCCCCAAGGGCCGGGTCTGTGTCATAGGGCGCCTGCCCACCCACACCCCAGTGCGGACGTGGCTCTGAGAGCCGCCGCCTCTCGTGGGCCCTGCTCGGGGCTGGCCAGTGCAGGGCGGCAGCCTCCTGCTGGGCGCTCGGGCCCCACAGCCGGGGGGGGGGGGGGGGGACGGTGGGGAGGGAGCAGCTGTGGTCACGGAGTGGACCGCGGACACACCTTTCCCCACTCGACCGTGCATACCAGCAGCGAGGCTGGTCTGGGCGTGTGCTTCACGGGTGACACGCCCAGAGTGCCCGTGCCCACCCTGCACCCGGCTCCGCTCTCGGCCCTTCCTCCCGGGGACGCCCCCCACTTCGCGCGCCTGGAGCTTCCGCTCCGTCCCCAGACGCCCGCCGTCCCGGCGCAGGGGACCCACCGTGGTGGGCGTGCATGGTCCTCCAAATCGGGGTGGGACGAGCAGGAAGCAGAGGGCCGCTGCGGACGGACGGACGGACGGAGGGACAACCCCGGCATGGGGGCTGGCTGTTGGTCCGGGGCCAGGACTGGACTGCAGGGGGTGGGGGGAGAGCACAGAGGTGTTGGGGTCCCCCCCAGGCTTCGTGTTTCCCGCCTCGGGAGACCCCGCTGCCTACAGCGTCCTGTGGGGGCCCGAGGGTCTCAGGCCAGTCACACGGCGTGGACGACCGCCGTGTGCAGGGTGCGCGGGGGCGGTGCAGGCTGAGTCTCCGCCCGGGGTCTGAGGTCGGCCGTCGCCCCCGGAGACGGAGAAGGGGACAGTGGAGCCTGTGTTCCGTGGCTCCAGCCCCCAAACAGCAGCCGCCCCTGGGCTGTCCTTCCAGGGAGCGGAGTCCTGGCGGTCCTGCTGGTGGCGCTCCTGCTAGACCCGCTGGGAGAGCCTCAGCAGAGGAGCGAAGGCGGGACCCCCTCCACCTGTTCCACCTTGCTGTCGACCTTCAGACTCCTGAGAGACCGGCGCCTGCGCCTGCTGGTGCTGCTGCCCATGTACAGCGGGTTCGAGCAGGCCTTCCTGGCGGGCGACTACACGCGGGTAGGCGTGCGTGCGGGCGACCCCTGGGGGCGGGGCTCTGGGGGGGTGGGGCCCAGTGGGCGGCCGCACAAGGGAAGGCCATTAGATGTGGATTTAACTTTCTGAGCGATGCCCACCCCCACGGAGGATACCTCCCTTTTCAGAGCACCCGTGCGTGGAAGCACAGCCGTGTCCCACACAGCCCTGCCCCCGCTCCTCCGCCCCCACCGGCCCCGCCCCCTCGCCCCGACAGGCCCCGCCCCCTTGCCCCAGCGGGAGCGGCCGCCCGGTGTCAGAGCTCAGCAGGCGCCGGCAGTGCAGACGCCTGTCCACGCCCTCTGCCGGCTCCCACGTGCCGGTTTCCTTACGCACATCACCGCTGTCCTCTGCACGGGAGCTGGGCCGACAGAGGGTTCCGGCCGGTTCAGCAGGACCTCGGTCCCCCGCCCAGCCCATGCGGGCGTGACTGGGTCCCCGACCACACTCGCCCGCCGAGCTGTCCCCCAACCCCTGCCCGGCACCCGGCCTCCAGGAGGCTCTGACGCGGCTCTGCTCCCGTCCCCAGTCCTACGTCACCTGCGCCCTGGGCATCCACTTCGTGGGCTACGTGATGATCTGCTTCTCGGCCACCAACGCGCTGTGCTCCGAGCTGTACGGGAAGGTGTCCCAGTACACGGGCAGGATCCCTCTCTACGCATTCGGTAGGTGGGCACGCGGCCAGCCCCCAGCAGGGGGTGGTTCTCCAGCGCGCCCGGCACTGCCGGGCTGGCCCTGTGGGTGTGCAGGGGACGGGACCCTGCGCAGGGCTGCCCCACCGCGGCCGGCGTGCGGGGCCGGGGCGGCGGGGAGCACGGGGTTCCGTGTGGCACAGAAAGGAAGGCCCTGGCCGGTCCTCTGGCCGTGGGTGAGGCGGGGAGCTGGGGACAGTCCCTGAGGGGCGTGGCCTGCACTCCCCCGGTGCAGAAAGTTGGAGCTTTCAAAGCGGACCGACTCCACGCCAAACACACGTCACCTTCTCTCCCTCGGGAAGGGAGGGAAGGACCAGAGACACTGTGAGTAATGAGAGACCAGGCGGTAACAGAACGTTCCCTGGCCCCTCGGCCGAGGTCTGGGGGTCCCGGACATGGGAGCTGACCAGGGCCAAGCGGTCTGCATATTCCCATTGCGTCCTCACCTTCACCCTGTGGCGTGGGCCCTGCCCACCTGGACGGTGGGGAACCCGAGGAGGGAGAAGTGAGGTGTCTGTCTCAAGGCCACACGGCCTCGGGGACCCAGTGTGCCCCTGCACCTCCCGAGTAGCCAGCGGTTTCAGGAGTGGCCAGAGCCGCCGTGTGACTACCTTCTGGCGACGCGGCGCCCGCAGAAACCGGACCCGCCAGGACAGAGCCAGGAGCAGGCAGCCGGGGCGGTCCAGCCTGCCTCCCCACCGGCCCTCGCCCCGTTTGAAGGCCAGCTCCCACGGGGTGGGGGGACACCGCCCCCATCGGCCTGAGGAAGGAGTCCTCCCCCACTGGGCCTGAACCCTCGTAACTTGGGGGCTCCTCCGCCCGCGCACGACGATGTCCTCCTCTGTGGCTCGTGGCCCCGCTGTCCCCCGCCTTGACAGCGGTCTGCCAGGCTGCAGGCCAGCAGTCGCCGTCAGACTCTGCAAAGGGCGCGCACGCCGGCCGGCACAGCGCGAGTCAGGGGCTCCCTCCCGCAGAGCCCGGTCTGGGGGTGTCAGGGCAACGCTGCTCGCACCACGAAGCAACAATGAGCCTCCTTCAGCACGAGCACAGCGCAGCCCCGCCGGCCGCGGGCGCGGCCCTCACCCCTGCGGTTCTCTCCCTGGGCCCGCGCAGGTGCCGTCACCCAGCTGTCCTGCATCGTCGCCCTCCTGCTGTGGAGACCCAGCCCCGACCAGCTGGCCGTGTTCTTCGTGTTCTCTGGCCTGTGGGGCATGGCCGACGCCGTCTGGCAGACACAGAACAACGGTGAGTGACCTGCACCGAGACCGTCGCTGCCCAGGCCCCCTTCCTCCCCCGGGCGGCGGAGGGGACCGTGGGGGGTGAGGCGGGGACCCCGGAGAGACGAGATGCGGAGGTGGTCCGGGCGCAGTTGTGGTGTGGAGGCGGCCGGGTTTGGGAGGCTGTGCCCATCTGTGTGGGGCACCACACACTCTGGGGGTCAACAGACATTTATTCCTCACAGTTCTGGGTCCACAAGGCCAAGGTCAAGGCTCTGGTGGGCTCCCTGCCTGGTGAGAGCACGCTTCCCTGTTCAGGGCCAGCTGGCCTCTCGCCGAGGCTGGTCAGTGAGGGCGCTGGCTTGGCCTTGGCGGTCCTCCGCACGCCCTGGAGCGCAGAGAAGCCATGTGCGGCGGGCGGCCGTGAGCGCAGAGCTGGGATCTGGCCTGAGGTCCAGCTCCAGGCACGGCCTCGGCTGTCAGGTTGTCTCCACCGTCCACGGGGGTGGAGAGAGGCGGGCAGCTGCGGAGGGCTAGAGGGGCCATCCCGGGACGGCAGTCCTGGGTTGCTGGCTGCGGTCGGGGTGGTGGCTGGGAGCTCGGAGCCCTCGGCTGCTCCGGGAGGGGGAGGGCCATGAGACAGCAGGCTCGTTGTCAGCTCGAGGGACAGGAGGCCACATGGGGGAGCGGGGTCAGAGGGCCTGGCCCTGGGAGGAGCATGAGTGGCCAGAGCCAGGAGCAGAGGGGCAGCCGGGGCCCAGGGGGTCCTGTGCATCTCGGAACCGGGAGGCTTGGGCAGCCCCCATGGGGGCTGGGTGTCGGGTCAGCACTACCCACGTGACTGGAGGGTCAGGGAGGCCCGCGGGTGGCCGGCCAGTCCTATTCCCCACAACGAGATGGGGTGGGCTGCAGCTGAGAGGGCCTGGGGCGGGGCCTGGGGGACAACACGGGAAAGGCAGCGATGGAGGGGCTGGATTTGGGTGGCGGCCGAACACAGGGGGGTGAAGGTGGCACTTTAGCCCGGAGACGGGCCCACCTCCGGCCGGCAACGCAGAGCCCGGTGAGATGCCCCAGGGCTGCCGGGAGCCGGCGGTGGCCAAGCGGGGAGCCTCCTCCCTGCAGACGTCCCGCAGGAAACACCTGGGACTAGTGGCAGCTCGGCCAGTGCCTCACCAGCCAGGTGTCAGGGGCGGGGACCTGGCTGCTGCCCCAGTGTGGGAAGAGCCGGGTGCGTGACCCCCCACGGGGCGAGGGTCTACAGGGCGGAGCCCTCCTCAGCACCTGTGTCCTGCCGGCTGGCCAGCTGCACTGGCTCCCTGAGACCCCCCAGCGTTGTGGGCGTCCATGGTTTGGTTTCACCCGTGCTTCCGCCGGCTCAGGGCCGCAGGGGGCTTGCCCAAGGTTCTGAACCAGGGGACGCCCGTGCTCACGTGCTCGGCTGGGCACCCTCACCTGGTGTGTCTGGGTCAAGGTCAGTGCCTGGGAGGAAGGACAGGACCGCCTCCCGGGCCAGGCCTGTGATGTTGCCGGACAGCAGCACCGCGGCACAGGGGAGAGAGAAACAGAAACTCCCTGCGGCTTCCGCGGGCCTCCGGCCGGTGCCCCAGGGGCGGGCGCGTCCCCGGCGTAGGCCTCCGCACCTTCCCGGACAGTGTCGGGAGAGAGTGCGCGCGCATGCCCGCGGGGCCTGCGGAGGGCTCCAGTGCAGACGCGCCCTCGCGTCCTTAAATGTTAGGTGTCGAGTCTGCACGGAGGACACGGGCTTGGTGGTGTCGCACCTGCTGGTGCCCTCCTCACTTCATGGCGTGACCGTCCCTCTACTCGTCCACTTAGCCGTTCAAGACGAGTTCTCGCTGACTCCGCGGTAGCCGTGGAACATCACTGAGGGCGAGAGTGGCCCCTGACCTTGGGGGGTGCCCGGGCCACGGGGGGACAGGCGGGGCAGCACCGTGCGTGGTGTGGGAGGCGTGGGGAGGCCCTGCGGCCACTGGGCGGTGGTGTCCGGGAGAACGGAGAAGTCACCCGCGGGCGGTCAGTGCGGAGGCCCGGCAGGGACGCTGCGCACGGAGTCGCCAGGGCGGACACGTCACGAGTCCCACGTTTCTTGTGCGTGGGGCGATTCTCACTGCCGGGGAGTGTCGCCACTCTCCACCCCGCCCTAGAGTCCACCGCATAACATTCTCCGTGTTTTTAAGAGAAAGGTCCTGGTCCTGCCCAGGAGGCCGGGCAGGGCGCAGGGTGGGGTCGGGGAGCAGCCCGGCCCCCAGCAGCAGGTGGGAGACGGCGGGCGGCGGGCGGCGGCGGCGGCGGCGCCGCGCTCACGGCCCCTCCCTTGCAGCCCTGTACGGAGTCCTCTTCGACAAGAACAAGGAGGCCGCCTTCGCCAACTACCGCCTCTGGGAGGCGCTGGGCTTCGTCGTCGCCTTCGGGTACAGCACCTTCCTGTGCGTCAGCGTCAAGCTCTACGTCCTCCTGGGCGTCCTGGGCGTGGCCATGCTGGCCTACGGGACCGTGGAGCTCATGGAGGCCCGGGGGCTGGCGGGGCCCCTCGCGGCGGAAGCCTCCGAGCCCGCGGAAGGAGGGGACACGCAGACCAAGATGTGAAGGCGGCCACGCCCCTCCGGGGCGGGGCGTCGGCGGGGGCGGGGCGGGGCGTCGAGGGGCGGGGCGCCTCCGAGGTGGTGGCCGACGCTTCGCCACCGCCACCGTCTGAGCGAGAGGAGGCCGTTGGAAAGGCATCATGTAGTTTTATTTTTTTATGTCGTTTTTCCAGTTGTATCCAATGTGCAGCCCACCTCCTCACCCGCAGAGGTGAGGAGTATCCGTGAAAAAAATCCGTTAATTTCAGGTGCAGAAGAAAAAAGTGTAGCGTCTGCTCAGCCCACTGGGACTTGCTTAGAGGCACAGAACCAGCAGCCCAGACTCGGTGTCGTGGTCGCTGTTGTCTCCGGGCCCGGAGCCCGGAGCCCGGGACTTGTTGTCCCAAGTGGCGCGGCCCGACTCCACGGGTTCACCAGCTGACGTCCGCGCTCGTGGGCGGGCTGCCTCGGGTCGCGGGCGCGCCGCAGCCAGGCGCCAGTGCGCGGGTTTGGATCTTGCAGAGCGGGGGCCTCTAAAGAAACGCGGTGCTGTCGCGAACCTGCCGCCTGGCCACGCGCTTTGATTCTGAACGCTCACGTGGGTGACACAGCGAAGGCCGTCATCACACAGGCGACTCTGGCGTGTCCTAGGTCATGGGGGGTCTTCCAAGCGGCCCCCGCCCACCTCGCAGCCCGCGCGTGTGCTCACCTCGGTCTGGACCTCCCTGTGGTCCCCAGGCTGGGAGAAGCAGGTCACGCCGCCGGCGCCTCCTTTCTGAGTGCTTCTTCCTCTCCGCACTGCCCTGCGCCCCCCCCACCCCCCGCACGCACCCTCCCACCCACTGGTGCTCCCCGTGGGTTTCTCCTGTCGGCTGTGAGCCGTGAGGCCGCCTCCTCCCACGCCGCATTCACCTGTGCCCTCCTCCGCACTGCCTCTCCCCTGTCCGTGGGGTAGCCCCGCCTCCCCCCAGCTGTCCTCCGCCCTCCTCCCGCTGCAGGCAAGGCCCTGTCAGGCCCACTCCTGTCCACACCCCTCAGGGGCTCCCGTTTGCACGAGTCCAGCGCAGGGCACCAGGGCCGCCGGACGCCTCCCAAGGGCCGGCTGCCCTCCAGACCTTCGCTCCCGCTTGCTCTCCGCGAATCGCCCTGCCTGTCCACGCCAGACCAGCCGGCTTCAGGAGTCCTCACCGCCTACCCAGCAAGTGCTTTGTGATGCTGGTTTTTGCACAAATGTCTCCCCCTGCTGGGCCTTAAGCTTTAGCGTCTGGCATGTAATACTCATAGGTGCTTAGGGGATGTTTGTTGAGTAAAGAAAATGCATCAATGACATAAAGAATCATTAACCCGCCCTGGCTGGCGTAGCTCACTGGATTGAGCGCGGGCTGCGAATCAAAGTGTCGCAGGTTCGATTCCCAGTCAGGGTACATGCCTGGGTTGCAGATCATGGCCCCCAGCAACCGCACATTGATGTTTCTCTCTCTCTCTCTCTCTCCCTCCCTCTCTAAAAATAAATAAATACAATCTTTAAAAAAAAAGACTCATTAACCCTCGAGGTCACTGGTGTCTCTGTGAACATCCAGCCACACTCGGGACCCTCCGTGCACCCGCCCCTCAGCCGTGGCCGAGCCCCGCTCTCTGCGGACACTGTGCTGAGCTAACACAGACACAGTTCTTCCGTCCTGCGGCCAGTTCCCGGGCAGGTGAGGGGACGGGTGTGGATCAAACAAACGTGAAGTTGCTCCTGCTGCAAGGTGACGTGTCCACGGCCCCTTGGGTGTCACTTTCCCGCCTGCTAGGACTTGCCCGCAGCCCCCACCGCAGTGACTGGCGGCCCTCCTGCTCCTTCTCTCTCCCTGACCGGCCGGGGGCCCGCCCACCAGTCTCCCCAGTCGGTGCCTGGAGCTGCATCCCCACCTGCCTCTCACCTGACCCCCCCGGCGACTCCCTGTCCTCTCCTCCGCCCAGGGCTGACCACACCCACACTGTCCTGCAGCTCATACTCCTCCCAGGGCCCCCTCCCATCTAAAGACCATGGTCTGAAGTCCTGGCCATGACCTTCCAGGCTTCCTCTCCGCCAGGCTGCCCTGCGCACGGCTCCTCTCAAACGCCGGGCGCTCTCCCCGCGGGGTCCTCAGCGGCCACTGAGGACACAGGTGGCCGCGAGGAGGGAACTGTGTGCCAAGGGCCCAGCAGGAAGAGCCCCAGGAGCGACGAGGAGCGAGGCAGTGTGCGCACGGCCTTGGGCAGCCCTCCAGAGGGACGTGTCCCAGCCAGAGGGTCCCCACAGCAGAGCCCAGGGACGGGCAGCCACGCAGTGCTGGGATGGTGTCATTTCATCTGCCGCTTTGGAAGCCTGGCGGCGGGTGCCCCCGGTGGCTGTCGACCTAGGGGGTGGCCTGCTGCACGGGGCAGCTGGGCGTGGGGCATCCCACTGAGCCGGTGGATGGGCTGGCCCTGCACCGCCGCCAGGAGCGCTCAGGAGCCCCAAAGCCCAGGCGCTGGTGCTAAGTACCACACCCACAGGGCTCTCTCTGGTGACCCCCGAGAAACCGGGAGGCCAGGCGAGCATGGACACGGAGGCCCGGCGTGGACTTCAGGCCCAGTGACCAGGCTTCTTCTCCCCATGATGAGGGGCAGAGCCCACTGCGATGGGGGAGGGGGGGCCGTGCACACAGCTGCTCCTCCGTGTGTCTGCAGCGCAGCGGCTTCCTTGCTGGAGGCCAAGTGCGACCGGCGTCCCCACCGGATGGCCCAGCCCGTCCTCTTGCTCGGCTGCTGGCGGCGCGCACGGGAAAACGTGCCAGACGCCGCCACGCCGGGAGCCGGGGCCTGCTCAAGTGGCCGGCAGGGCGAGCCCAGCACGGCCCAGGCATGGGCCGTCTGGCCGTCAGGCTGTCTGGAGAGCAGGTGGCCGGGGCCTCGGACGCTGCTGGCTGAGCCGCGCCGTCCCGTCCGCTGGAGGACCACCTGCATCGTCGTGGGGGCCTTTTCCTCTCTCTTTGTCCTTTGAACTTGCAGATGGCGGGGGGGAACCTGTGGCCATGCCCGAGGGCCTGGCATGGGGCCAAGGGTCCGGACCCGCACGGGCTCCTCGGTGCCTAGGGGGCGGGTGACAGACAAGCCCCCGTGTCCTCAGCCGGGCTGGCACGCCAGCCCCCCGCAGGTCAGCCGAAGGGCCGTTGTGTACCCGGTTCTCATATTCCCTTTGTGGAACGGGACTGTCCCTGGCTCCCAGGGAATTCTCAGATGGTGGGTCGTTGCCGATGCTGTCCGAGCATGGGGACCGTGCCCGGAGGCCGAGGCTGGCCTGCAGCGATCTGCGCATCGCCGAACTCCACTGCGGTGTCCCAAACCTCGGCCGGACCTGACCCAGCGGCGACCGGGAGTCTCGTGGCCCCACTCCAGGGCTCGGCGGCAAACGACGCACTGCCGCTACTTGCTCGGAGTCCATGATGAGGGCGAGACTGAACAGCGCGCCATGCATGAGCGTGGGCCGCAGCCTATCAGAACACTTCCTGAAGTGGAGGGGTCACCTGAAGGCAGTCTGTTAGAGACGGGAGCACAGGGAAAAGCGTCCAGACAAAGCAAGTGTGCCCGTAATCCAGGCCGAGGGCCAGCACGCACGGACTGTGACTTACCAAAATGAGTAAAATGAGCAATGCAAAGGCCCACAGGTTCCGTAATGCTTGATAACAGGGGGTTTACTAGTGTTTTAAAAGAGGTGAATCTAGCCCTGGCTGGCGTAGCTCAGTGGATTGAGCGCGGGGCTGGGAACCAAAGTGTCCCAGGTTCGATTCCCAGCCAGGGTACATGCCTGGGTTGCAGGCCATAACCCCCAGCAACCGCACATTGATGTTTCTCTCTCTCTCTATCTCCCTCCCTTCCCTCTCTAAAAATAAATAAAAATTTAAAAAAACATTATTTAAAAAAAATAAATAAAAGAGGTGAATCTTCCAGGCACTGAAATGTGAAGGAACTTTCACGTGGGTCCCAACTGCTTCCGGCCTCTCCATTGAGTCACTCCCTCCCAGCCCGCCGGCCCCAGCTTCCGGGGTCCCCGCTCCACGTTTCCGTGCGAAGTTCGTGGAACCCTGGCCCCATTGCAAGGGAGGTGCGCTGCGCTTCCTCTCAGCCACGCCGGGAGCCTGCCCACGCGGGCCCTGACGGCGTGGGCTTCTGCACGTGGACCAGACCGGACGTGTCCACTGCCCTGGGTCCCTCGCGCTCGTTTTCACGTCCGCTGGCCTCCGGACACCGGCCCAGTGTCCCCCCGGGCAGCAAGCCCGGTCGGGAGGAGCGCCGGCCAGATCAGCGCTCACGCACACGGGCTGCGGACAGCCCGCACCTGACGGCCGCCGGCTTCTCCCGGGGTCATCTCCACTGAGCTCCGCGCCCCCAACCGCCTACCAGCATCACCTCATGTCGCCCCTGTGACTCTGAAACTGCCATTCCTGACCTCTGACACGGCCCCCTCCCCCGGCAGACCCCTGGGCCCCGTCTGAGGGTCCTGCTGCGGCCAGTCCGGGGTGCAGCCCCCGAGTGGGCATCTCAAACGCTCCTCGGTGTGAGTGCGTGTGTCTGACTGAGCAGCACCAATTTTAGTCATGTGACCGCTCTGCTCTCGGGGCCCTGGGCTCGCTCACTTGGCTCGGGGCCTGTGAGGTACGAGATAAAAGGCTGGAAATTTTAAAAGGATTTTGGGGGTCAAATGTCACTCACTACCACCTATCGTTCACGCTGCACCTCAGGCCCCGAGACAGGGCAGGGCCCCTTCGCCCCGAGACAGCAGGAAACAACACAGAAATATCGTCGGTCCCACCGGCACTCGGACAGAGCAACCGCCCAGCGAACCGCTGGCCGCGGCGAGTCCCGGCACCTGCTCCGCCTGCAGCTCGGGGACCTCGGCCAAGACCGTGGGGGCGGCGGCGGTGGAGACCTGGGGACCCGCACCCTGGCCTCAGCCGCTCCCACCCCCGGAACAGCGAGCCTTCCCACTGCCCCAGACCCCCACCCGTCCACCCCACCGCCCCCCGTCCTCAGACATGTGCAGACACGCCGTCGTCCCAACATCACCCAATGACGGTGATGTCCCTCGCGCCCTGGGACCCATTTCTCACCCGTCCACCTGCTGGCCACACCTTCTCCCCTCCAACGTCACCCTCCACCGAGACCCACCAAGAACATCGTACCAGCTGCAGGAGCACGGCCCCGCCCAGAGCGAGGCAGCAGCCTGGCTGCGGGCCCCAGAGCGGGGGGGGCGGTGCATGGGTGGGTGGGTGGTCACTTGATTGTGGTTAGTTGGTTGGTTGGTTGGTTGGTGGTTGGTTGGTTGGTTTTTTGGTGGTTAGTTGGGGTTTGTTGGTTGGTTGGTGGTTGGTGGGTGGGTGGTGGTTGGTGGGTTGACGGTTGCCCGGCTGGCTGGCTGGCTGGACTTGCCTCACGCGGCCCCAGCCGGGCACTGGAGCGGCCGACAGCCCAGAGACACACGGGGGCGAAGGCAGAGAAGCCAGCCTGCTCTCCAACCTACGAGTCAGAATGATACTCAACAAGAAGCTAAGGTAAAATACATGAAATGACTATAACACACAAGAATGTGGTAGGACATATTTCATTTTATTCCTTTTAAAAATAGAAAACGTGGTTTCCTTCCCTCCATCAGTAAGACGTCTGTTTATAAAGCAGAGGCGTGTGTGTCTATCTGGGGAAGCAGGTGAGAAGCCCGGGGCCACGGGAAGGCTGGGGGGACCGGGAGAAGCTGAGCGCCGACCAGAGGATGGGTGGCCCGCCGGGTGACAGGGGGACGGTGCTGCACGTGCGAGAGGCCCCCGTGGCCCCCGGTGCGGAGCCTGCAGCCTTGCTGGGTGTCCCGGGGCCCTTCCCTCGTCCCCTCTGCTCCCTGACCGGTGGTGGCCCCACCGCTTCCCCACACCAGGAGAGCCGAAGGCAGGTCTCACATCCTGCACGACTCCCAGACGAGCGGGGTGGCCCGGACATTCTGTGTGGTTCTCCGTCCGTCACTCGGGGCAGCGAGTCTTCTACTCGTTTTTTGTTTCCGTTCTGACAAACCGTAACTGGTCGGTCCCACGGGCCCCTCCTGGGGGTCCTACCGGGAGTGGTGGGCGGCCCGCTTCTGGTCCAGCACGAGGCTGCTGGTGTCGCGTCTGACCCTCACCCTCCCGGAGGTGAGCCTGGTTTCCTGGAGGCCGCCGCCGTACACGGTCTTGACGGTGCCGTCCGGGTACTCCCGCCGCTTGAACTGGGCCGTGTGAATGTCCCTCTGCCCATTGCTGAGCACGATGGTCCTGTCGCCGTTCCTGGGGAGGGGGAGGCCGTGTCAGCTGGCCTCGTGGGAGCCAGGGCTGCGGGCGTGGGTGATGTGGCCCGGGACTGGGTCCCCCGTTCAGGTCTCGGTGGACGAGGGGCGAGCATGCACAAAGGCCGGGGCAGTGCCAGCC